AATATACCGTCGGAAATCCGTCGGTTAAGTAAACCGTCGGAAATCCGTCGGTTTACTAAACCGTCGGAAATCCGTCGGTTTACTAAACCGTCGGAAATCCGTCGGTTTACTAAACCGTCGGAATTCCGTCGGTTTACTAAACCGTCGGATTTCCGTCGGACCTCCGTCGGACAAAGATATACTGACGGTTTTCCGACATCTTTTCGACGGGTTCTTGGCCGTCGGAAATCCGTCGGAAATTCCGACGGAATTTTTATTTCCGACGAGATAGAAACGACCGACCAAAATCGTCGAAAAGCCGTCGGAAAAAGGCATTTTCCGACGGAATTCCGACGGTTTTGGTCGTCGGAATTCCGCCTGTTTTCTTGTAGTGTTCGAGTTTAATGGTGGTCAAACTTGAATAATCAGTGGAGCATTGGTTAAAAGGTAATGCCGCAGCTCTGATTGGTGAAGATGATGATTGATGACGGAGAAATCGAAGTAATAGCGAAAGTAGGTCTGAGGAGTCAAAGCTCGTTGATAACATTATGTATCTATGGGAAAACATATTTTTAACATGGTAAACTTATTGTTTTACCGTGATATATATTTTAGTAACAAGTTATATTTATTTGTATCATATTAACTAAATTATTATCACACATCAAACTTAAACTAACATGATTCTTTTTTATGCATGTACATATGTTAATTAAATTGGTGACAATTAATAATTTAGTTAGCACGTTACACAGAAAGTTAGACATATATTTATATATTTATCTTGTATAACAAATATGTTAGCATGTTACACAAAATGTTAGACATACGTCTAAATATTTATCTGGTATAATAAATATGTTAGCACGTTACAAAAGTAAAAACCTTAATAAAAAAAAGGTAAAAGGACTTTCTTTTTCCACAAGCTATTAATCCTTCTATATAGATATGTTTTGAAGACCTAATTAAAAACCCTAGTAACCACCGTCGCCGGCTGCTATGGACTTCGAAGTACAAGAACCACCATTGAAGATGACGAATCCTACATCATCTTCTCTATCGTTTTCATCATCACTACTTCCAGATGAAATCATTGTGAATTGCTTGGCCTGGACCTCGAGATCTTACTACCGTTCACTCTACTTAGTCTCCAAGAGCTTCTACTCTCTTCTCTCTTCTCCGGAGATCTACACTATCCGATCCCAAATCGGAGTCAAAGAGCCTTGCCTCTACGTGTGCCTTGCGACACCCACCATAGACATAGTTGGTTTACTATCGGTGAGATTGAGGATGAGTTATTTTTAAAACCGGAAAGACTCTCTTCCTCCTCCAGTTCTTCTTATGCTCGATTAAACTCATCAACCAATGTAGCCGTCGGTTGTGAAATTTACCAAATCGGTGGAACCGTCAAGGACAAGCGATCCAAAGCCGTGTTTGTGCTTGATTGTTGGAGTCACACGTGGCGTCGTGGTCCTAACCTGTTAGTGGCAAGGAAACACGCAAAGTCTTGTCTTTTAGACGGGAAGATATATGTAATAGGAGGATGCAGCTCGACAGAGGGAGAAATCATGAATTGGGGTGAGGTTTTCGACCTAAAGACTCAAACTTGGAAGCTACTGCCTTGCCCTAGTGATCTTTGGCATCATAAAGTTGCAGGTTTTGGAGGAATGATATACATTATCACCAAAAATAACAACAAGTACGCATATGATCCGAAAGAAAAAAGATGGGTGCTAGAGTTTGGGTTTGTTGGTCTAGAACCTTTAAGTAGTATAACTAGACCTTGGTGCGTTATAGAAAATGTATTGTTTGCTGAATATGACAGTAAGTTCAATTGGTATAACCCAAAGTATGGAAAGTGGTATATAGTTCATGGTTTGGATGATCTGTACGTGAAACGTGCTCATGATTACCGTACGATTCAATTGGTTAACCATGTTGGGAAACTAGTAATTATATGGCAGGAGTGGACCTTGATTAAAGATGGGCCTCGCGTTATTAGCAGCGGCCAAAATAAGAGAATTTGGTGTGCAGTGGTTAGGTTGAAGAAACAGCATAAATCCAAGTTTAGGGGGGAGGTTGAAAGATGCAATGTTGTGCTCACAGTCCTCAAGTCATGTAAGCTCTCGAGCTGCCTATCGGTTTCGATATGAAACTCATATATCTTTGTTGCTTTCAACATAGTATTTGGGTATTTATTTCTAATAAGATGGG